ATTCAGAGCATATAGAGTAGGGGTTGGCTTCAATATAGGGGCCAGAGGCCATGCTGCCACCATTTGCCCCTCCTTGTCCACCTCAAAGCTTGCTTTCCCTATCACAAAAGACAGAGGGGGACTGGTAAAGCCATTGTCAAAATAACTAGTCAAGGAGGTGATGAATCCTCTCTTCTGTCTCTCATGGGGATAATGAATATATTCCTTTTTGAAACCTTAGGCTGGACGATTTTTGGTGGCAGGCAAGTATGTTGCTGACCCCTTAAGTAGAGGAATTTAGTTCTGGCCTTGAAATGAAATGATTGCTCAGTCCTGGAAAAATAGAAAGTATAAGAAAAAGGACTCAGAACAGCCTTGTCTTGACCTTACTGTCTTTAAAAGAGAACAGTTAATGGTTTGGAGAAGCTTTTAAGATTCTGTTAATATTCGCTACAATAATACTGTAAAGAAATGTCCCTGGAATCCAACCAGTATCTGTTTCTTCACCTGATCTACCTCAAATGGCTGACAGACAACAAAATACTTACAACAGGTATCCCCAACCCCCAGTTGTGGACCGGCATCGGTCTACAACCTGCCTGCCACCGGTCTGCACAAACAAGTAAAGTCCCATCCGCAGGATGCAGGCAATACGCAAAACCACACCCCCTCTAAAACTTTTCTCCACGGCATCAGTCCCTGGTGCCCAAAAGGTTGGGGACCTCTGACCTACACCATCCACAAATATCCATTCTTCTTTATAGTGGTAAAGCCCAAAAAAAATGCCAAAAGTTCCACACAGAGAAGGGATATTAAAATAACTAGACAACTCTCAATATGCAAAGGTAAATGCTACACACTAGGTTAAAAAAAAATCTGACATTTAAAGAGCTAGTAATAACTGACTTAGAAAGACATTTTAGCACTGCGGTAAATAAGTCACAGAAACAATATAACAGCTGGGGGGAACATTTTTATACTAGAGAACTCATTAGGAACTGGATTAAATATAAAATAGCCAATATAATGTTATTATGCAAATGTATCATATGTCATCATATAAATACTTGTTATTGGTACTGTAATTCTAAAAAAATAGATATAGAAAATATGCAAAAACTGACAACTGAAACTATCAGGGAGTCAAACCAATTATTCTATGAAAAAAGGGAAAAACAAATGGGAACATTATAGAAGTGTAAATAGTTACATAAGATATGGAAAAAGTGATCAGAGAAAATCTTCTCCCTTCCTAAGAATAGCAGAACCAAAGACTGATTGTAGTAGCCAATTGAAGCTGAGCAGTCAAATATCTTATATAAATAAAGTATATATTCACACCACACATAATTAAATTCTGCATTTCATTTCCACAAATGTGACACTGCAATTTTAATGAATCAACAAGGACAATGCAATCAAAAGCTATTGGTCATGGTGACTGTACTATGCTACTTTAAAAAATAAGAACACTATACTATTAAATGCATTGAGAACATATAGTCTTTTTTTTTTGCAGTGTACCTATGTCATACTGGTTAGAAGAAAAAGAAAATTATTAGTTTCATAAATTGTTCTGCATTTAAACTATGCTCTCAATTTCATTACAAGTAACTGTAATTGTGCATTCACTATTGTAATCCCCAAAATAATAATCACATGTCAATCTGAAGACTTATAAATACAATAAAAGCAAAATGCTTAATTTTACAAGCTATTACTACATCATAAGTAAAAGTCTAATTTTTGTTTCCATCTCAGAAGAAATAGAAGCAGAAGCTGAGTAGTTACACTCAGTGTAAAACATTAAAATTAAATAGAGAATTTAGTTTGCTGCCCTATAGACACAATCAACTATACTTTATGTACTCAACATAGGTTTTTATTTTAGATATTCTTAGCTTTTGTTAATTACCCCATATCAATATAAAAAGATTTGCAACTTATACAGAAAATATAAAAAATATAAGGCAAAAAATTAGACATTATCTTATAATGCAAAATAATTTTATAACACAGAATAATGTTCATATAAAAGCTGCTAGGTCAAAATACTGTTTAGTATTTGTTTCAGGTCAATAGATCATTTTTATTCTGAAAAAATGTTTATATAGATTACAACAGTTTGTTTAATTTAATTTGATTTATACTGTTTCCTAGAGCGAGAAGGAATGTTAAAACAAAATTACAGTTAGCAACACATCCATGATAAAAGGTTAACCTAAAACTTAAGAAAATTGATTTTGTCTGAAATTTAAAACAAATACATCCATTAACCATAATTTATTCTTCAATTTACCATGAAATGAAGAATCACTGTTTGAATTTTTCTCTAGTATTTGTATTACTGTTCTGCAGATGTGCAAATTTTATTCAAAGAAACAGTGAATTCCAATAACAAGTAGGCAACCTAAATGACAGTTATTAATAATGTTCAATCACTAACTATCCCCAAGGATAGTTTTAATATTATGTTTTAATAAACCCTGGTATTCTGGAAACTTCATTTTCATAACCTACACAAACAACTAGATTTGCTAAGAATTCACCAGATTATGAAAACAACAGGGAAGGTTAAAACAGAAGGTTAATCACAAGTGATTACCTCACAGATTTAAAAAAAAATCAGCTCAACAATACAAGAAATCAGAAGTGAGGTTATGAACCATGTAATATTAATCTATTTTACTGAAAAGGGCTGCAGGGTCTACACCACAGATGCAGCATGCAAAAACCTGTTTGTTCAAGCATGAAGTAGAGTTACAACTGTTCCCTTCCCCCTTCTCCCTAGCACTGAGAATACCTGGAAAAGAAACTTTAAAAAAAAAGATACATTACCATGCAAAAGTAATTGTTTTTTCCTTATCAACTCTGGAGGAATAAAAAAAAATATCTAACTACAACTAATCAGAAAAGACAGCATTAGCACTTCAAATATTAACTATTTGTTTCAGCAGAAAGCCTTCATGGTCAAATATTTTGGATTAACTATACTGCCAAAAGCCAATTTTCTACACAGGATAATTAAACCATTAAAGGGGGGGGGGGGGGAAAGAAGCCACTAGGATGATAATCACACCTAACATTGTAGAGCCAAACATTAATGGAACAAACCACATAAAAAGCTATTAAGGTCCTTGGCTGCCACAAAGCCTAACAGTCACTCTACAGTAGGGTTTAAAGCAGGTCTTGTAAATGGAAACACTTCAATAATGACACCAGCACTGGAGCGGAAGATAGATACTGGAGTAAACAGGAAGGGCCAGGTCTGTTCAGGGAAGGGATTTAGCAGATGTACCAGAAGGGGTGACAGTGGCTGGGTCAGATTTACCTTAATAGAAAAACAATAGGTGGGAGAGAGCTGTAAAAAGGGCAAGGAATATAAATGAGACAGACAACCAAGAAAAATTGGGCAGGAGTGTTGCTGGAAGTAAGGTGGCACACGTAGAGTGATGAACGCCCTAAAGGATAAAAGATACGGCAGAAAGATAGGATAGCTTAGTCTTCAGAGAAATACCGAATTTACAAATGCTACGTCCTGCAGTAGGGAGGGGTAAGAGAAGCAGTAGAAAGGGAAGGAATGATAAAGAGAAAACGTTACCCTGTTAGAAAATAGCAAGGGGGGGGGGGAAGACTCTGGGTGGTGCTAAGGGGGGATAGGAGGAGTGCTCTGGGCGGAGAAGAAAGAAGTAGTCGCGATCAAGAAGAAGAAGAAGAAAAAGAACGAGAGAAGGACTGGAAAGCATGAAGAGTGAGACCGGGAAAGACCCACAATGGAGAGGGNAAAAGGGCTGCAGGGTCTACACCACAGATGCAGCATGCAAAAACCTGTTTGTTCAAGCATGAAGTAGAGTTACAACTGTTCCCTTCCCCCTTCTCCCTAGCACTGAGAATACCTGGAAAAGAAACTTTAAAAAAAAAGATACATTACCATGCAAAAGTAATTGTTTTTTCCTTATCAACTCTGGAGGAATAAAAAAAAAAATCTAACTACAACTAATCAGAAAAGACAGCATTAGCACTTCAAATATTAACTATTTGTTTCAGCAGAAAGCCTTCATGGTCAAATATTTTGGATTAACTATACTGCCAAAAGCCAATTTTCTACACAGGATAATTAAACCATTAAAGGGGGGGGGGGGAAAGAAGCCACTAGGATGATAATCACACCTAACATTGTAGAGCCAAACATTAATGGAACAAACCACATAAAAAGCTATTAAGGTCCTTGGCTGCCACAAAGCCTAACAATCACTCTACAGTAGGGTTTAAAGCAGGTCTTGTAAATGGAAACACTTCAATAATGACACCAGCACTGGAGCGGAAGATAGATACTGGAGTAAACAGGAAGGGCCAGGTCTGTTCAGGGAAGGGATTTAGCAGATGTACCAGAAGGGGTGACAGTGGCTGGGTCAGATTTACCTTAATAAAAAAAACAATAGGTGAGAGAGAGCTGTAAAAAGGGCAAGGAATATAAACGAGACAGACAACCAAGAAAAATTGGGCAGGAGTGTTGCTGGAAGTAAGGTGGCACACGTAGAGTGATGAACGCCCTAAAGGATAAAAGATACGGCAGAAAGATAGGATAGCTTAGTCTTCGGAGAAATACCGAATTTACAAATGCTACGTCCTGCAGTAGGGAGGGGTAAGAGAAGCAGTGGAAAGGGAAGGAATGATAAAGAGAAAACGTTACCCTGTTAGAAAATAGCAAGGGGGGGGGAAGACTCTGGGTGGTGCTAAGGGGGGATAGGAGGAGTGCTCTGGGCGGAGAAGAAAGAAGTAGTCGCGATCAAGAAGAAGAAGAAGAAAAAGAACGAGAGAAGGACTGGAAAGCATGAAGAGTGAGACCGGGAAAGACCCACAATGGAGAGGGGGGGGGGGGTAAAAGAGAAGCAGGTGCGCTGGGTGGAGCCGAGGGCGGTGACTTCGGGACTGGCTCCCACCCCTTTCGCAGAGAAGGAAAAGGGGTGAAAAAGAATCGCCCCCCCCCTTCCGACGACCATTCGCTCGGACGCACTGACCTGGTCGCACCGTCTTGAGGCGCACTGGCTCCCTGAAGTGGCGGATGACGGCTAAGGTGTCGCGGTGAGTGAGGCCGCTCACCGGGGTCCCGTTTACCTCCAGCAGTACATCCCCGGGGGCAGGGGGCTTCCCTGAAAGCAAAACAGAACCAGCTCCGCCACCGGAGTCGGCCGCTGTCAGCAGGCGGCCCCCGAGGTAAGGGAATTCTCCCCGCTCGGCGCCGCCCCGCAGGAGGTCGGGGTCTGGGCCGGAGCCGCTCCCCCAGGACACGGAGCACTCCTGCACCTTGCTGAGCCAGTGGCGCTTCCTCCGCAGCGTCTTAGACATGAGGCCACACCATGGGCGCCCCTCCGCGCGCGCGCCACCCTGTTCCACCGCCGCCGAGCTCGCCTTACGGACGGTTGGCCGAGCGGCCAACCAGACGTCCGCGCGCGCACCCTCCCACCTTCTTCTACCACCACCGGCCGCGACTGCCTCCCAACTGGCGCCCTCAACGCGGCGATCAGGACACGCCCCCTCGCCTTCATTGGCAACACCTCTTTTTCCCCTGGCGTTGTGTTTAAGCCCCGCCCGGCAGTTCACGGGCGGGGCTAAATGGAGTGACGTCCCCCTCCCCAAAAAAGGAACTTTCAGGACGGGGACTTTGTTAGGTCTACACTTGCGTAGAACTTCTAAGCGAGTGAGGCACAAAACAGTGAAATAACTGCTCCACCCAACACAGTTTTTATTCAACGTGCATCCTGCCGGGCCCTCCTCGTGCCCTTGACGCTGCGCTGTCCGCCTCCTTCCGCGCGCCATAAGCTTAATCCCCTTCGCCCGGAGAGAGCGAGAGAGCGGGCCGCAGGGAGGCACCGGTCGTTCCTGGTGGCTGCCTTTAACACCACGTGTCCGCGCGCGCGCTCCCTCCCTCTGGCCAGCGAAGATTGCACCCACAAAGAAAATGGAGGTACAGGGAGAGAGAGAGAGAGAGAGAGAGAGAGAGAGAGAGTGCACTTTTACTGGCCCGAAGCCGGGCACCAAGCCGTGCAGCTCATCCTCTGCAGTGCCCGGAGATAGCGGGGTGAGCAAATGGAGGTTATTCATCATTCCCGTTCGCCTGCAAGCTCTTCTGAAGAACAAGCCTCCCCCTCGGCAGCCCATTCTCTCCGGACCGTTGTTTGAGCCCCATTTCCATCAGGCGAGCGGACCGCAGCGGCTGATTCTTTTGCATTCTTTTCCCTCCTTCGGGCAAGGAAAGAGAGAAGAAGGAGGGGGCCGCTGTTCTGCTTAGTGCCAATAGCTGGCTCAGAGCCGCTGCGCTAGCACAACCTTTTCCAACTAGTACTCTTTTTGTGTTGGATTACAACTCTCTGAATTCCCTGGACCAGGCCGGTGTTTAGCATATGTAGTAAAAGGTATCTAGTTGAAGGCGGAAATCTCAGCAGGACAGCCGACTTCCATCCTTCGAGCTGCTTTGTAAAAACAAAAATCCTAATCTTCTCCTTGTATTCTTATAAACATATTGGAATTTACTTAAGAATGTAAAGAATACGCTAGATCAAACCTAGTGCCTGCATTCCGCATTGCTTTTTTTGTAGCTGACTTTTCCATAAAGGAAAGTGCTCGGAGTCACTGGGAATGTAACAGAATATAAATTCAATACATTTCTGTTATTATTATAGAGCAGTGCCCCAGTAGCACCATTATACCAATTGGTGTTCAGAGGCATAGTGAGGTCTGATTCTCAATATATTGTATAGCCATCAATCTAGAGCAAATGGAGCCACAGAAAGCATTCTGTGGTTGGGTATCTTTGTCACTCTCTTTTCAAGCAGTTATGAAAATGTACAACTTGCATTTCAGGGTTCATCGTTGAATCTGCTCGGTGATGTGTGTGAATTAGAATGCTGAACTAGGATTCAGGAGATCCAGGTTCAAATCTATATAATCTCTTTATCTTTGCCTCATAGGGTGATAGTTTTTGGGAAAAGTGGAAGAGGAATTGCTATGTATATCACTTTGAATCCTAAAAAAAGGCAATATAAGTCAATTCAAAGAGAAAAAAACTTTATATATGTTACAAATCAAAATATGTATTTTATCCAAAGTATGCATATATAGAAGTGACATTAAGGAAAAAATGCTCACAATTATTCTTTATTAAATCTTTCCTACTAAGAACAAGAAAATGATCCTATATAGTTCCTAAATATTAGTTATATCTGTTTTTTAAAAAGAAGTGCAGATACTAACTACTATGATATGTGCTTTTCTTATTATTATTTACTCTAGTCTATAATGTGCTATGAATTGTAGCTTCCCTTTTCTTTATATTTCTGCCCATTAATTTGTACATATTTATAATCCACTTTATATCCATTAACTAGTGAAATTACATGTCCATATTCCTGATTCCTTAAAAAAATTAATTTTAATCATTGTATAAGTAGAGAGTTTGGTCTAAATGTGCTGCACAATCACTGCTTCAATATTTGTTTTGTGAAATTGCCACTCTTTCAGTGTTTGGCATTATACACTGTAGTTTGATACTTCCATCCTCCATTAGATCCTGCAGAAGAGGCATGCTCCAGGTCCTATCTGTTAGGAAACACCATCTGATAGGGCCCAGGAAGAGAGCCTTTTGGAACAACTCCTTTCCCATTAGGGATCAGATTGATCCCATGCCTATTGACTTTTCATAAACACATAAAGAGGTGGTTTTGCCACTAGGTTTGGGGATCTGTGTGTGTTGTAGAGCAAGGCTTTTCAACCAGTGGTATGGGTACCACCTGTAGTACATTGGCACCTGGCAGGTGGTACGCAACCATCCTAGAAAAGTGGTAGCGGGGGAGGGGAATGAGCTGAACCGGTGACAGCACCACACAAGCCTGAACCAGAGATGGCTGGAGCTGCAGGGCTGTCAGGGCTCAGCGGAAGCGCCAGGATCAGCACCAGTCTCCAGCTGGAGCTCGGTGCTGATTCTGCTGCTTCTGAGTCCAGATGAAGCGCCGATCAGCTGGAATGTTGCAGCATCTCCAGGGTCTTGTGATTTACATTCAGATGCTTGGCAACTGATTCGTATTTATGACGGTCACAGTGTCCCAGGGTCATGTGAAGTGACCAAAACCTGCTGCAACCACCCAGCAGACGGGGGGAATAAAAACCAAACACCCCCCCATCCCACTTCCGCTGCCAATCCTCAACAAATGCTCACAACAATGAAAACCTCAGACAGGAGAAAGAGCGCCGCCGGGTGGGCAGGCAGGTGTCTTGCTCGGCTGTGGCTTGGGGGGCACTCTTTTCAGTGCCATTGTAACTTCGAACAGTCACTAAGCGAACTGTTGTAAGTCGAGGACTACCTGTACTTTATCACTTTTTTCCTTTTTTGGGGGGGGGGGTCAAGTTTTTGACACCTTGCTAGGCAACTGGTGGTACTCGGATGTTGCCATATCCTAAAAGTGGTACAATGGGTGAAAAGGTTGAAAAGCCCTGTTGTAGAGCAGTAGTTATATTTATTTTTTATACCTCAGCTGCATATTGTATTATACGGTTTTTATATAGTTTTGCATATATGATTTTATATTACTTTGTTTCATATTATTTGTTGTTGTAAGCCACCCAGAACCATGTATTAGAAATGGGTAGCTATAAAAATTGAAAGGATAAATCAATAAATTTTGAAATTCTTTATTATAGAGTTACGAACATCCAAGATACATATTCTTGGATGTTCATATTCCTTAGAACATATTCCCTACCCAGAAGAGTGAAGTTATATCAGTATTCCTATCATTACCAAGTTGGAAGCTTACAGAAATTGATGAAAATTTCTACAGGATTATGGTAAGCAACAGAAGAAGAATTTGTAAAAGTTCTAACCATACTATGCCAGCAGATTTGTAGAACGACACAGTGAGCAGCAAATTAAAATAGATCAGTGTATATTCTAATACCAGAGAAAAGAAACAAAACAAAGCATGCAAGCTATTGTACCATATCTTTAATTTTGCATGCTAGTAAGATAATGCTTAAGAATATCCATCAGAAATTAGAGCCCTACATGAAAAGGCAGATGGCAAATGTTCAAACTGGCTTGAGAAAAGAGTAAGAAACAATATACATTATTGGATACCTTGATATCTATCAAGGATTATTGGATCCCTGATAGACTTCTATAAGGTGAAAAAAAAGAAAAAAAAAGGATGACCAGCAACAAAATAGATGCACTCAATAATAGCAGAGATGGGTACACTATGGAAGACAAAAGTAGGTTTCTTGGAGAAAATCTATCACTCAGAGGCAACATTGATGATACATCAAAGTTTCTATCCAAACTTAGTCTTTTTTTCCTTTATTAAATTTATAACTATATCAAATCATGATTGGGAGAATAGGCATCCTTGTTTAGTACCTATTTTCATGTGACCACAGGATGCTGGAAATGGCCATAAATGTTATGTGGGTAGGTCCGCTGTAATTTCAAACAGTAGATAAGCAATTGTTTGTGATTCATGAACTGTCTGTATTGATCATTGCTTTTCTTGATTTTTATCCAGATTACAATGAGATTTTTCCATATTGAATATGCAAGTTGTCTTTAATAAATCCTGCTTCATAAATGTATTTGGAAAGAATATTAGCCATCTTGCTTCTTAATATGCTTTATCTTATTTTACTGTTTTGTATTTTGATCAATGTTATTGGCCTATATGAGTTGATAAGATCAAAGGCTTTATCTGCAAAAGTCTANATCCAGATTACAATGAGATTTTTCCATATTGAATATGCAAGTTGTCTTTAATAAATCCTGCTTCATAAATGTATTTGGAAAGAATATTAGCCATCTTGCTTCTTAATATGCTTTATCTTATTTTACTGTTTTGTATTTTGATCAATGTTATTGGCCTATATGAGTTGATAAGATCAAAGGCTTTATCTGCAAAAGTCTATATGTTAGGGAAATTCAATGTTTTTATCTAATAATTTAACTTTCTAATGTTTCAAATTTTGTTGATTTTGTGAGTTGGAAAGTACATGAAAGAAGGTAGCATTCTTCAACTGGGGTCTGGGAACTTTGTTTTTGACCTTTAACTCTGATTTCAGCTTGGAACATGTTAACACAAATATGCATACTGCCTATTGCTTTAAACTATGTAGTCCATCCTGCCATTCACCTATTTGGGTTTTCTCCACATTTAAAAATAAAAAAGAATAACAACCTTTTTTTTAACTTAATAAGTCTGCTTAGGTAATGATTTTAATAGTTTCCTTATATATTTTGTGTTTGATTTAAAAAAAAAATCCTTTCACTGCATACTTAACATTTGTCTTTCCAGAATTATAAAAAA